GTGTTTAGTAACGGTTGTGGCCTCCTCTAGCGTCTCGTACTGCCACACAACGTCTTCTCATGGATCTCAGAACATTAGTAAACACTACCCGAGGAAGACGTCGCCACTGCTCAGCAAGAGCATGTTGAAGGTCCTGCAACGTCAGTGGTGGATTCACTTGCTGACGAACACGTCGACCCAGTTCGTTCCAGATGTATTCAATAGGATTAAGGTCGGGGCTAAGCGACGGCCAATCCAGGACTTGGACACCGGCATTTCTTAAAAAATTCTGGGTAGCAATGGGGTCGAGCATTGTCTTGTTGAAACGTTCGTCCAGGCCCATGTCTCTGCATAAACGGAAGAAGAACAGGTTGCAAAATCTGATCCCTGTACTGGACAGCATTTAAGTTCCCTTGGACAACAACAAGAGGAGAACGTCCATGTGCACAAAAATAACCCCAAACCATGACGCTGCCGCCACCAAATCGGTCAACGTCTCTGACGCATACTTGAGCGTAACGTTCACCTCGTCTGCGGTACACTCGGGCCCTGCCATCGGCAAATCTCAAAGTGAATCGAGATTCGTCACTATGTGTCTTGTGGCCTACACAAGTCGGTTACGGCGATGAAGAGGTGTCAATATTGGTCCATTATAGGGCTTCCGAGCTCGAAGACCAGCAGCCTGCAAGCGATTTCGAACAGTTTGTGCAGTTACCCTTCCACCAAACATCTCTCTACTTGTGGAGGTTACAGTGACAAATCTGTTTCTAAGATGACATAATCGTATTGCTTGATCTTCCTGGAGTGACGTCACACGTGGCGCTCCCGCCCTTGGGCGGTCGGCAATAATTCCAGTTTGAAACACTCTCATTCTAAGATTAATTATTGTCTGATGTGAACAATTAAAGGCTCTTGCAACAGTGACCACAGACTGACCAGCATAGAGCCTACCTATATCACGTAGACGTTCTACATTTGAAAGGCGTGGCATTTTCTAACAAAGATGAAAATAACAATTTTAATTTGTTTTTCCAGTTCAAGTTACGTGTGCGTGTTCAGTTTAAGCAAACTTGCATCGATTGACCTCACGAGTTTGTGTTTGCACGCGTTTTTCAGGTTTTTCATTTTTATATGCTCAAAAGTCACGTGATCCATGTGACTTTACAATTTTATGAAATTAAAGGCTTCTTACTACTTACTATCGTTAGAAACACTTTAAAATTTATTTGACTTATAATTATAATTATCAATATATATCGAGTATTAAAGTGCACATTAGTAATGTGCGGTTTTTCGGTTTAACCGAATAACCGCCGTGGTTTTTACATATAAACCGAAAACCGAACCGATAAAACAAAAAATAACCGTGCGTTTCGGTTATTTTTTCCAAATTCCTAAATTTTAATTTACCGGTTTTTCGTTTCGGAAATGTTTGAGAAATTCCAAAATTTTAATGTAGCCACCACTTCCGTTTTTATTTTCGATCAACCAGGCCCCCTATGTATAGAGTGTTTAATAGTTTAATAAGTCTGGAGACAGCCTAGACTATTTATTTTCTCGTTCGTTCGTTCTTGGTGTTTAACGTCTGCTTCCACATAAGTGATATCGCAGACAAGACATAGGAGAGCCGAAGCTGATTCCTGTTTTTTAGAATATGATTTTGCAATCTTTCCATTTGGCCTTAGGCCATGGATTTGGTTTAGTGGGAAGTTCTTCCCTTTATTTAATATAAAACATATCGTTTGGTAGATGATTATGTCTGCTTCTGGATTGGTAGATGTCATCGTTTTAGTGTTTAGGTGGAGGCCCGTCTTATCGTGGCCTCCCCTGACTCCACTATCCCACTCTCTGGGTTTGGTATCAGTTTTATTTGCGGAATAGTGTTTAGGTGCCGAGTTCGTCTGACCGTAACTCCCCCTTACTCCACTATCCTGCTAGTTTGGTAGATGTCATCTTTGTGGGGTTTGTGTTTAGGTGCCAGGCCCGTCTTATCATGACCTCCCCTTACTCCACTATCCCATTCTGTAGGTTTGGTGTCTGTTTTTGGTGGAATAGTGTTTAGATGCCGAGTCCGTCTGATCGTGACTCCCCCTTACTCCACTATCCTGCCAGTTTGGTATAAATCCCCTATGTAGTTTAGTGTTTAGATGCCAGGCCCGTCTCACCGTGACCCCCTCTTACTTCACTATTCTACTTAGTCCAACTGTGTCCATTAGGGCGTGGATTTGTTCGAAGATTTGCAGTTTCAGATCTGGTCTCGGGAAGAGTAGGTTCTTAGTGTTGAATGGTATGTTGTTGGTCTCCATTGTTCTCACTAGTTCCCTTCTCTCCTCCTCGTATACCTCGCAGTCTACCAGGACATGGTTGGTGGTACATTCTTCTCCGCACTCACAGATGATGACTTGGTGTTTGTAGTCTCGCAGCCGCTCTTTCACCCTTAGCTTCGATATAAGTCTACAAATATCTCTTCTAGGGTGATTGAGTGTTGTCTTTGTGAAGATCTTGTCATCCAGCCGGAATCTGTATGTGTCAAGTTCAACGAGATTTAATTCCCAGATTGAATTGACCTGTCTTTTGACCATACTGTAGATTTCCGTGGTGCTGTAGTCAATGGTTCGGAGTGGTGCTGTGTCCTTGAGACCTTCATTGGCGAGTCGATCTGCCTCCTCGTTTCCTCTTATGTTGACATGTGATGGAATCCACACGAGTTCTACTTTGCTTCCCTTCTCTATAACCCTCTGGTGCAGCTGCCTGATTTCCAAAATGACTTCTGGTCTTGAGTCCGAGTTGTCATTTTGGATTGAAATCAGACTGCTCAGAGAGTCGCTTGGAATGACGAACTTACTAGTCTTTTGATGGGAAATCCATGATATAGCGTCACGAATGGCCACAAGCTCTGCAGTGTACACCGAACAGTTATTTTCTCAATTCGGTTCGGTTTATAATCCAAAATTTTATGCAAGCCTTAGCCGGTTGTCAATAGTTACGCACGATGGCTTCCTCAAGAAGTAAAATGTCTTCGACTTCGAGTCCATGGCTTTCTCACTACGAAAGATTGGATGACAGTACAAAATGTTAAGTGACAGACAATGCCGACTAAAACCAAACCATGCAGAAATGCTTGTTTTTCTGAACCATAATTTAAGACACCGAGTCACTGACTGTTTTGATTTGTTGGATAAGTTCTTCGGATCTTTTATAAGCTTACAGTAACTTTATTGTTTCTGGACATTGGTATTATGTCGTTATGTTAATTTATTATTGTTATGTTAATTTATTATTATGGTGTTGTGTAACTTGTTTGACAAAGTTTGTCAGATCTTTTTTTTTACAGTAACTTTGTTTTTACAAGTCATAATTAAAGTCATATAACAGTTAAAAAAACTTGTTGTTTACAATTTACATCAATGTTTTATATTTTTTCTAGCTTCCAAGTATTCATATAAGATAACCATAAATCAGTACATTCATAATACAGTGTTTAAATGAATAAAAAAAATGAAAACCGAAACCGAAAGAAAATTAAAAAACCGCACATGACAAGTGCACATATAAGATTATGGAACACTATTAATTTTGTTACACTGTCCAAATTTTACCAATGTTAGATTCCAAACCATAAATAAATTACCAAATATTTTTTATTAATTTAAAAACTCTATAACCGAAGGTGATAGTAATAATAGGTACATTGCAAAGGAATATGCGCATGTTTAATACAGTCTGCAAATTGATACATTTATCTAAAAGACTAAAAAAATACTAGCTGAATTAAATACTTTCTCGGTTAATATACATCTGACATCCTCAAAACATCATACGAAGCAAGCGTATTACGCAATGGTAAGGCACTGTAAGTGACACAAACTATTAGTTACTTGCATGCACGATTAATAGTAAATAGAAAATACTGCAATGTTAAATGTATTTTGTATGTGAAGTGTACATATTACAATTGTATTTGTAGTACATTTATTAAATAAGGAGACAAATTAATATAAGCCTTTGGCTTGTTTTTGAATCCTTACCTTTTGACTGTGTATGTATACAATATCTATCTTATTTGAATAAAATATTGTTTAATTCAATGGTTGAAGGACCAAGCCAGAGTTATCGTTTTATTAATTAAAGAAAATGCAACTTCTATGTCGTGAAACTCGTCTTTTAACTACGATTATCATATTAGTCATTAATCTCCTCTTAATCTATATCCCCATACACATTAATTACAGAAAGGGCCTGTGCATACACGGCATCATATTCCTGAGGCAATGGTCCGTGAAATCCCTCTCTGCCCATTGCTGGATTGGCTTCTGATACTTGAGCTTTTGAGGGAGTGTGTGTATTCTTCCAGTTCAATCAAATCTATCCCAAGTACAGCAACATGACAGCCCTTCGTTTAATCTGGGGTCTTCCCTAAAACTTTGGACAGTGATTTAAGGTATTAAAAACGGTGAAACTATTCTTTGTCTCCATACAGTATTGTTTACATTGTATTCGTGTTGATAGCCTTGTTTGTCACGCAATTAGTTTTTCTGCAATATTCTGCTATGCACTGGTTAATTGGGCATAATAAAATCGTCAGTCATGACGTAACGTTATGTAAACATATTTGGTCCAATTTGGAGCTTTGTTTAAAATGTAACAATATTGTTACGCAGTTAGCTATTGGTTGTTAATCGGACTATTGACCAGTCATAATTTGGAACAGAAAGTTGCTTCCAAAAAAGCAGTGTTTAGTGGGATTAGCTCTAATCAAACGAAACACTGCGAGGAGTATGACACAGCATTGAGAGCTATTCACTTTTTGGTCCACCGACTGTTATTTTAAATATACAGTGAAGTCATTATGGCCGTTATTACAGTATAGATTAATTATTTGATTGGTCGAATGCTATTGTTTTATTAATTCCCACCTGTGATCACATGTCTGGGTGCCATATGAAACCATGTTTTTGAATACACATGTCCATTATTACAGTATGGATTAATTCTTTGATTGGTCAAATGGTATTGTTTTATCACTTCCCACCTGCATTATTTGTGATAAATCACCTTTGATTGAAAGATACATTCCCGGGTACAAACTGGGTGATTTGATGATATGTTTGGACTAAAAACATATTCAAACTAATTAATTTATCATAATTTTGCTTCAAATCCTTCTCAAAACATTGCAATTGTTGGGGAATACCCTGGCTATAAAAAATGAATCAAAAGAGGTCATGTTTGAGTCACGTGACTTACGTCTCTTGGTACCTAGCAACGCAAGCGAAGTCGGAGGAGAATTCATTGCATACACAAGACGGTGTCTTTAATCACTGATTATTTATTACAAATATCGAAGCCTAATTAAATTTTCGGATTATCCACTGCCTGCGTCTTTTTCCGTGATTTTTATCTCAGAAAGTGTTGTACGTCTAATTCATCATATAGTTTATCAAAATGTACATCAAGCACTCAATCTCCGTGTGTAACCTTGGACGTCACGTGTGCAGACACCCCTAATTGTCGGGCTGTCGATTAGGGAAACCCTTACATTTTTGTCCTGTATGCGCTCCATGAGTGTTTTTCAGGGAATCCAGTATTTTTCTAGTAAGATTGGATATTTCTACTTTCAATATATACCAAAATAAAGGTATAACAAAAGTCGTTGTACTGCAGTCAATATTTTAATGCCATCAATCAAGTTTTTAAGTAACATCAAGGCAGTAATCATTGAAGCATATTTCCTGTTGATACTGTCTGAAAATGGGCGACAGCTTGTCTATAGAGATTGACAGCGAGTGTCTTTTTTGGCGCCAGTGCAAAGTCTCACAAGATTATCACCCTGCCATATTACATTGTGAGGTTGACTTCTGGTGACGTGTACAAGTGGAAGACTACATTAATTCATTTGTGATTTAAAAAAGATACATTATACCTGGGATGTGATTTACCGATTTTCAATTGTATAATTACCTGGGACGTGATTTATCGATTTTTGATGTATTTGTCAATGGTGGAATTACTATTTTTAATGGATAATAATACTTACAACCACGGTAAGGTGAGCATCTATGGGTGTGCATTTTTTTATATTCACCTTTTTTATTTGTACTTCATATGTAAATAATCGTAATCAAAATGAACCAGTTGGATAAACGACTCACGGGAAATTTAAGGGTTTATCCAATAGTTAAACACAGTACAAAAATTAACTGAGAGTTGATTATAGACGTATCTCTGGAAATTAAAAGGCTCGTCTAATAAGTAAACGCGCTAGATAAGTGAACGGTTGTCCATTTCTAAACCCCTCTCCCCGAGAAATTAAACGGTTTACCATTAAATTAAACCATAGTACTAACTAAATCATTTTTGAAATTTTCAAACGATTTTTATCAATTAACAAACAATGTTTTGAAAGTAATCTATATGCATACTTTCTAGTGCTAAAAACCTGAAAAATATGGTAATATTGTTGATTTCTTTAATTTATTTCACTTATTCTGTTTGTGATATGTAAATCTCAAGACGGGATAAAATCTCAAAAATGTGACCTGTAAGAGCAAGTATTGTTGACTGACCAACTGACAGGGGTAATGACAATATTATCCCACATGAAATGTGCGCGTACAATAAATAACTACTTACAGCATGATGGACTGTTTCAGGTACGGCATCAGCGCCTTTTAAATCAATCCAAGTTGGAAAATACATCAATTTTTCCTGAAAAATAAACAAAATATATTACCAGTTACCAGAATCTTACAAACCTTTATCCTATACTAGTCACTGTATAACTATCTGAATCTCTGTGTTACTTTTTGCTAAAGTATAAATTACCACGGTAACCACAATAGTATGTAACTCAGTTAAACAAACCAGTGATCATTTTCGAACATATCACTAGTATGAAATTCCTTCACATCTTAGCATTTAATTTGTATACTTAAACCAACTTTTTTGAATGCGGACCCGTGGAAATCTGAGACAGCTCCTGTAAAGTTTCATTTTGGAAGTGTAATCATAAGTCAAGCTACATACCGCCATTTTTTTAACGTCAAAAGAATGAAGAGTAGCTGAACAGACAATCATCTGTAAACGTTTACCATCACTGGTAACTTTAGGTATTTGGTCATGTAATCGTGTTATAAGATTACCATAGCCTTGTTGTAATAAACCATCCTATATAAAATAACAGAGAATAAATTAAAGAGCCATTGGATTAAACTAAACTATTTGGGGTGTTTTGCTTTCTCAGGTATAACAATACTGCTATCATTACAAAATCCCAAGTTTCTATATAACAGCAAAACTAGCTGTTTGTCTGCAAACTAAATATTAGTGGAGAAATAAATCAGTAAAAAACAATGGAGGAAATGTCAGTAAAAATCAATGGAGGAATGAGTCAGTAAAACTGAAAAGAGAAACAAGTCAGAAATTGAAGGAAGAAATAAGCCATAGAATTCTACATATGTTCAAAATTTTTAAAAGATAGGTTGCCAGGCAACGAAACATACGCCCACAGCAGCTAAATCGTCCGGGCAGTCAACAAGAGTTGTCACATTTTTTTAATTTTCGGTAATGAAACATTTATAATAAACTAAAATCTGATTATAAATTTAAAGTCAATTGGATATTAACTTTGGCCTCTTGAGCGTCCACAAGATTTTTCAAAGTGATCAAGGGCCATAACTCTAGCAGTACTTATCGGAAATCGCCGAAAATCAATAGGCTTCTTCGTCTCATGACATTAAACACTGTGTATAAATTTAAAGTCAATCGGATATTAACTTTAGCCTCTAGAGCGTCCACAAGATTTTTCAAAGGGATCAAGGGCCATAACTCTGGCAGTAATTATCGGAAATCGCTAAAAATCAATAGGCTTCTTCGTCTCATGACATTAAACACTGTGTATAAATTTAAAGTCAATCGGATATTAACTTTGGCTTCTACAGCGTCCACAAGATTTTTGAAAGTGATCAAGGACCATAACTCTGGCAGTTATTATCTGAAATCGCTGAAAATCAATAGGATCCTTCGTCTCATGACCTTAAACACTGTGTATAAATTTAAAGTCAATCGGATATTAACTTTGGCCTCTAGAGCGTCCACAAGATTTTTCAAAGTGATCAAGGGCCATAACTCTGGCAGTAATTATCGGAAATTGCTGAAAATCAATAGGCTTCTTCGTCTCATGACCTTAAACACTGTGTATAAATTTAAAGTAAATCGGATATTAACTTTAGCCTCTAGAGCGGCCACAAGATTTTTTGAAGTGATCAAGGGCCATAACTCTGGCAGTAATTATCGGAAATCGCTGAAAATCATTAGGCTTCTTCGTCTCATGACCTTAAACACTGTGTATACTTTTAAAGTCAATATGATATTAACTTTAGCCTCTAGAGCATCCACAAGATTTTTTGAAGTGATCAAGGGCCATAACTCTGGCAGTAATTATCGGAAATTGATGAAAATCAATAGGCTTCTTCGTCGCATGACCTTAAACACTGTATATGAATTTAAAGTCAATCGGATATTAACTTTGGCCTTCAGAGCGTCCACAAGATATTTTGAAGTGATCAAGGGCCATAACTCTGGCAGTAATTATCGGAAATTGCTAAAAATCAATAGGCGTCTTCGTCTCATGACCTTAAACACTGTGTATAAATTTAAAGTCAATCGGATATTAACTTTAGCCTCTAGAGCGTCCACAAGCAATTGTAGACGCCGGCCGGACGGACGGGGGTGACGACAATATACGACCACATTTCAATGTGGGCGTATAAAAAGTATCTCCCAAACACACATGTTCCTTTTCTGACGCTTAGTCAAAGTTTATAACCCATCAAAGTAATTGTTATCTTTGTGCAACGTAAGAGAAAAGTTAAAAACTTACACATTCATCTAAAACAAAAAATCTGATCTGATGTAGAGCCAATTTACCAGTTGATATCAGATCTTCCATTCTACCTGGTGTTCCAACAACAATATCAACCTTACAAAACATAAACATATATAATGATTCATAACCGTTCTCAATCTAACATACTAGTATTTACACTAATACAGGTCCACCAACCACCAGCAAAATCTTCCTTGCTACCTCTAAAATCAATTCAAACAAGTCCCACTGATGAGTAAGCTGTAAAATATCCAAACATGTTTTAAATATGTACTTCATCCTAAATCACATTCACAAGCCTTGAAGTTAAAATTTAAGCATGGAAATAGTCAAAAAAATTATGAGTTTTGATACGGTTCTTCATTTTTCCACAATGAACAACCCCACCAAGTATTAAAAAATACGCCCAAACGAAAAATATATAGGCATAGGAAGCAGCTTATCTGTAAGGAAAACTAGCATGTTGACCAAATTTGATAATTTCAAGAAATCTGATCTCTATCAATATAATTCTCTGACCATGACTATGTATATTATTCTAGAACACAAATCATGAGCTGATATAGCTCCTATATGTGTGCACTAAACAGCACAGGCTTTTGCATTTGCATTCCATAGTTATGTACAGAAGTCTATCATAGCCATGTTTGAAAATGCGGGTTTGAAAAATATGCTAGCTTTACGCTGTGTAAATAAACTGATGGTTCCTGAGAAATTCAGATCAGCAGCCAAGACAACCATAAATGTTTATCTTTGAACCCCAGACTCACTAGTGAACAAGCCTGCCAAGTTTGAAACCAAGAACGTCAAAGAACCAGCGGCTGCCAGGCAGGATACGTAAACATTTTGCAAGAGATGGACAGAGAACAAGCTAGAAACAAAAACAATTCTTTGTACAATCAGGTGCCATAATCCAGAAAGTTATGGTCACAAATGTGTAAAAATATCGACAGGGACTAAGATTTTTGGAATATATGTTTTAGGTTTCATCAAAATCGGATAAAAATTGTGACCTCTAGAGGGTCCATAACCTTTGTATTACATACTTATACACGATTTGCGTACAAAGAACGGAAATTTTGTCGGTCAGTTTCATTTCAATTTTCCCAAAATTCAAATTCAACCTTCATTATGGTGGAATGGTGATATATCTAAACGGTTTTTAAAATCTGAAAAAAAATTGTGACCACTAGAGAATCCACAAGCTAAAAATGTGATTTTTCGACCAATTAGGGGTCATAATCCAGAAGTTACATTCGGATATGTGTGATTATCAAAAGGAACCAAGATATTTATGATAAAAACATATATTTAAAGTTTCATCCAAAGTAGACAAAAACTATCCACAACCTTGATATACCATATTTTTACACTATATGTGTACAAGGGGCGGCCATTATGTTGGTTAGTTTTAGTCCGAGTTTCACGACAATTGAACTCAACCATCATTAGTGTATAAGTGTGATATATTCACACATTTTCTTTTAAATCAATTAACCAGTGGCTTCCAAGCAGGATACGCCCACATTTTGCAAGAGATGGATAGAGAACAGGAATTTTTGTACAATCAGGGGCAATAATCCAGAAAGTTATGGTCTGAAATGCGCAAATATCAAAAGGGACTGAGATCTTTGGGATATAAAGATATGTTTCAAGTTTCATCAAAATTAGATAAAAATTGTGACCTCTTGAGGGTCCACAACCTTCATATTACATACTTTTACACAATTTGCGTACAAAGAGCAGCCATTTCGTCAAGCAGTTTCATTTCGATTTTCACGAAATTCGAATTCAACCTTCACTATGGTGGAATGGTGATATATTTAAACGGTTTTTAAAATCAGAAAAAAAAAATTGTTCAAGCTAAAAATATGACTTTTTGAACAAACAGGAGCCATAATCCAGGAAGTTACCTTCAGATATCAAAAGGAACCAAGATCTTAGTGTGTAATGGTGATATATTCACATGTTTTTCTTTTAAATCGGATAAAAATTGTGACCTCTACAGGGACCACAAGCTAAAACGCGATTTTTCGTACAATCAGGGGCCATAATCCGATATGCGTGAATATCAAAAGGAACCAAGATCTTTGGGTTATAAACATGTATTTCAAGTTTCATCAAAATCGAATCCAAATCGTGTCCTCTAGAGGGTCCACAACCTTGGCAACCATGAAATACCAGATGTTATACACTATTTGTGTGCGACGGGCAAACATTTTGTCTGGCAATTTTGCCCCGATTTTCCCGAAATTCAATCTCAATAAACATTACGGTGTAATGGTGATATATTCAAAATTTTTTTTAAATCAGATAAAAATTCGGACCTATATAGGGACCACAAGCTCAAAACACGATTTTTTGTACAATCAAGGATCGTAATTGAGGAAGTTACAATTCGATATGCGCAAATATCGAAAGGAACTAAGATCTTTGGGTTATAAACATGTATTTCAAAATCAGATCAAAATTGTGACCTCTAAGAGGTCCACAACCATAATATACCACATGTTTTTACTATTTGCTTACAAGGGGCGGCCATTTTGTCCGAGAGTTTTGGTCCGATTTTCACAAAATTCGAAAATTACCATCATTAGGGTGTAACGGTGTTATACTAAAACGTTTTTTTGAACCAGATAAAAATTTTGACCTCTGGAGGGACCACAAGCTAAAAACGCAATTTATCGTACAATCAGGGGCCATAATTCAGGAAGGTACAATCCGATATGGGCGAATATCGAAAGAAACAAAGATCTTTGGGATATAAACATGAATTCCAAGTTTCATCAAAATCGGATGAAAATTGTGACCTCTAGAGGGTCCACAACCTTAATATACCTTATTTTTACATAGTTTGCGTACAAGGGGTGGCAATTTTGTCAGGCAGTTTTGGTCCGATTTTCACGAAATTCGAACTCAACAATCATTAAGGTGTAACAGTGATATACTAAAATGTCTCTTTCAGACCTGATAAAAATTGTGACCTCTAGAGCGACCACAAGCTAAAAATGTGATTTTTCGTAAAATCAGGGGCCATAATTCAGGAAGTTACTATCCAATATGCGCGAATATCAAAAGGAACCACAATCTTTGGGTTATAAACACATGCATTTCAAGTTTAATCAAAATCAGATCGAAATTGTGACCTCTAGGGTGTCCATAAGCTAAAAACGTGATTTTTTGTACAATCAGGGGCCATAATCCATGAAGTTAGGGTCCGATACATGCCAATATCGAAAGGATCCAAGATCTTTGGGAGATAAACCTATATTTCAAGTTGCGTTAAAATCGGATAAAAATTGTGACCTGTAGAGTATCCACAAACAAATTGTGGATGGATGGACAGAAAAGGGCGACGACAATATACGTCAACATGAAAATGTGGGCGTATAAAAAGTAGCGTGAAGTGCATCAAGTCAGTGCTCACAAACTGATTTTCAGACATTTCAAAGGCAATTACTCTGACGAAAAAAAAAACCTTGTTCATGTTTGAATTCCTAAATATTTTGACCAATATAAAACTAGATACGTTTTAATTCAATAAGCTACATACCAAATTCCATCTAAGTTGGTTGACCTGCTATGGCATAGGCGATATCTAGCAAATAGTTGACAAACATCTTTCAAATTCAAGTATAATCAAAACTGAATGAAGTGGGGACGCATAGGAAGGGGAGATGACCATATATGTCCACATTAAATGAGAGCATATATAAATCCCATCCTATATCACGTTCACAAGCTTTAAACTGAAAACGTGATATGAAAGTTAACTCTGCGAAATGTGTCCGGAAATTATAATCATAACAATCCGAACAAGTTTTTAAAAATTCCATTGACAACTCTGTACTGTATTGCATTCAAAATTTCATGAATTTGAACGTGGGATAACTCCTCCTTAAGAACACTAACCCATTACTGTACTGTGAATTTGAAATAATCCATCAAATAGGGAAATAACAAATAATTGGACATTCTTACTTACTTCACTCTGTTGAATGGATCGAAAACTATATACGATAACAATATAAATCATGAAATGAAATAAAATGGGGTTTAACATCCCACTTTTCTGCTCTGAACAGGGCTAATGAAGACAGGTATACGCCATACAGTGTGCTATGAGAGTAATTTTGCCCAGACAGCGGCACTACGGCGTACTCTTATATTGAATTCCAACTGTCAAGGGGTCTTTTATGTGCACGCCAATGTGTTCACAGGACCTTGTTTTTTTGTACCATCCGAATGACTAGACATCTGTCCCTGTCGGGTAACAACAATATATATGATCATTAAAATGTTGGCATATAAAAAGGAAATGAAATGTTGTTTAATGGCACGTCATCTCCAACCGGGCTATATTGCGCCAAACATATGTTGATATAAAAAGGAAGTCCATAGACAATATTTTATTGGTGTAGTCTTGTGTGTGAATTTTAATAGCCGAATGAAGTACCTACCCCGTTCTCTAATGCATTCACTTGATCTTTTGCACTTTCTCCACCTATAATCAGCAATTCACTTTGAAAAAAAACAACAAATATTATCTTAAATTATTCATGGAATAGTTATTAAATTGAACAGATAGATGATAAAATTAACAATTAACTTAAATAGCCCAAGCTAGTAAGCTGCTCCATGGTGCTGTTTACAAATCACCAAATTCACCATGCATACATTAAAATATCAAAAACATGGTTTAATAAAAGGCAAGTTTTCGGGTAATTTTAAAAACAGCAACACTGAGCCATACAGAAAATATCCTAGTACTCAGACAATGCATGGTTACTTAAAATTTCAATTTCTGATTGAATCTGCAAGGGATGACTGAAATTATACTCCATAGAGATAGGAGGTGGAAGGAGCAACATTCACATTAGAGCTACAAAATCTGTGCTTTCATCCTTAGAAATGAAACAGGATTTAATGTTTTACTTTAACACATCAAATGGATTATGAAGATGGAAATAGGTCATGCGGTGCTCTTAAACCAAGCTGGACAAGCCAACTGTGAGGCTGATGTCCCCTGCCGAAATCCCAAAATAAATACATGACACATATTAATTAATCACACATTAATTTTTTTTTACAAAAGTATCAAGCAATCAAACTGATTATCAACTATACACTAAGTTTCATCACTCTCTATCAGATAGAATCAAAGTTATCTTGTTCCAAAGCATCGACCAATGAAATTGCTTACCTCTGTTTAGTTTTAACTCAAAATGCTAATCATTGAACTCAGTCAAGACATTCACCTAATGAACATCTACATCAAGTTTAAACATTCTACCTCAATTAAAAGCAGAGTTGTTATGTTCCAAAGTCTTGACCAATCAAATTGCTTATCGATCCTTAGCCTAAGCAGAAAAGTCTCATCATCAAGGTAATGATATTATGAATCTATACTCATAGCTACATCACTCTCGCTTAATTAAAACCAAAGTTATTGGCGGCAAAGCATCAACCAATCAGATTGTTTATCTCTGCTTACCGTAAGCAGACAATGTTTATCATCGAACTCCATCATGGCATTCAGCGAATGAACAACTACACCAAGTTTGAACATTCTAGCTCAATTAGAAGGAGGGTTATTGTGTTTCAAAGTCTCGACCAATCAAATTGCTTATCACTCTGCTTACGTCAAGCTAAGGTTGCCACGATACCCCGGGGATGGCGATATATCGCGATAATTAGGTCAGGTGATAAAATTATCGTCTGAAATCTCAAATATCGCTTTATCACGATATATCGCGATAAATCTAAAACATATCGCAATATTTTCATTTTTGATCAGAATTCAGGTTAAACCCGTTCAAAATACTCAACAAAATGAAGAAGAAATCAAATTGTAACAAATGCCGATACTAGATCTATTCCAAATTTGACAACAGACATTGAGACAGCTGTTTTTAGGACAAACTGACCAACATTAGTCTCATGTATCAAGTACATTTCACTGAATAATATTAATCGTTATCATACACGTGTTGGCTACGCTTTGATATAGTCTGGTCCCATACCCCACGAAGAAAGCATCCACACTATTTATTACGATTGATATTATACGGTAAGGATACCCCTACTCGGAATTATACAGTTAAACTGCACGCGACAATATGTGTCGCCATAGTAACCAAGAGGTGTTTTATTGTTGATTACCCAGTTCTTTGAAAATAACATTGATATTTTACGTTGAAAAATCGTCTGGATAATATTTCTTTTATTCTTTGAATAAAATGGCTTCCGAGCTTGAAACTGTCAATGCCAATCGGAATATTTTTGATGACAGTTCGGCAGACTGCAAAAACAAACTGCTGCTGACAGGAAAAAGGGCATTTCTTTGGTCTGTCATATGGGGATATTTTAGTTTAACCAGTGGCTGCCAGGCAGGATACGCCCACATTTTTGAGAGATGGATAGAGAACAAACTAAAAAGAAAGTGATTTTTCCTACAATCAAGAGCCATAATTCAGGAAATTACAATTCGATATGTGGAAATATCGAAAGGAACCGATATACCATATTTTTACGCTATTTGAGAACGAACGGCGGCCATTTTAATGGTGGTAAAATAATATGTTTTTATAAATCGGATAAAAATTATGACCTCTATAGGGTCCACAAGCTAAAAACGCTATTTTTCATACAATCAAGGGCCATAATTCAGGAAGTTACGGTTCGATATGCGCGAATTTCGAAAGGTACCAAGATCATTGGGTTATGAACTTACATTCCAAGTTTCAACAAAATCGGATAAAAATTGTGACCTTTATACGGTCCACAACATTGATATGCCATATTTTTACGCTATTTGAGAACGAACGGCGGCCATTTCGTCTGTCAATTTTGGGCCGATTTTCACGAAATTCGAACTCAGCCATCCTCAGGGTGTAACGGTGATCATGGCATTTAGGGCGTGGAATACCACACCCACCACCAGAAACCCGGCAGACTTACATTCTGATGATACCAGATATACATACATTGATACCATATAGGAGAAAATTGGTACACTTTTCAGCTAGGTTGACCCCCTGGGCTCCCGGTCTATTTACGCCCTGTCTAAATAAATGGTCCAAGATTTCAGATGTATAAATGAAAATTAACAATTTGCAGTAAATTTATTATCAAAAAAAACACCAAGGTTTTTAACTGACTGGGAAATGGCAATATTAGAATCCCGAATTGACAACCAGCGGCTGCCAGGCAGGATACGCCCACATTTTCGAGAGATGGATAGAGAACAAGCTAAGAAGAAAGTGATTTTTCCTACAATCAAGAGCCATAATTCAGGAAATTACAATTCGATATGCGCAAATATCGAAAGGAACCGAGATCTTTGTGTTATAAACTTACATTTCAAGTTTCAACAAAATCGGATAAAAATTGTGACTTCTATAGGGTTCACAACTTTGATATACCCTATTTTTACGCTATTTGAGAACAAAGGGCGGCCATTTTATCTGTCAGTTTTGGGCCATACAAAATCCTTACAAAACTGCGTCACAACAAAAACAACTTAAACTACTATAAATTCGAAATTCGAACTCAGTTGTGCTTAGGGTGTAACGGTGATATAATAATACGGTTTTTTAAATCGGATAAAAATTATTACCTCTATACGGTCCACAAGCTAAAAACGCGATTTTTGCGTACAATCAGGGGCCATAATTCAGGAAGTTACGGTCCGATATGCGCGAATATCGAAAGGAACCAAGATCTTGGGGTTATAAACTTACATTTCAAGTTTTAGCAAAATCGGATTAAAATTGTGACCTCCATAGGGTCCACAACCTTGATATACCATATTTTTACGCTATTTGAGAACGAAGGGTGACCATTTTGTCTGTCAATTTTGGGCCGATTTTCACGAAATTCGAACTCGGCTGTCCTTGGGGTGTAACGGTGATATAATAATATGGTTTTTTAAATCGGATAAAAACTATGACCTCAATAGGGTCCACAAGCTAAAAACGCGTATTTTCGTACAATCAGGGGCCATAATTCAGGAAGTTACGGTCCGATATGCGCAAATATCAAAAGGAACCGAGATCTTTGGGTTATAAACTTACATTTCAAGTTTCAACAAAATCGGATAAAAATTGTGACCTCCATAGGGTCCACAACCTTGATATACAATATTTTTACGCTATTTGAGAACGAACGGCGGCCATTTCGTCTGTCAATTTTGGGCCGATTTTCTCGAAATTCAAACTCGACCTTCCTTAGGGTGTAACGGTGATATAATAATACGGTTTTTTAAATCGGATAAAAATTATGACCCTCCACAAGCTAAAAACGCGATTTTTCGTACAATCAGGGGCCATAATTCAGGAAGTTACGGTCCGATATGCGCGAATATCGAAAAGACCCGAGATCTTTGGGTTATAAACTTACATATCAAGTTTCAACCAAATCGGATAAAAATTGTGACCTCTATAGGGTCCACAACCTTGATATACCATATTTTTACACTATTTGAGACGAACGGCGGCCATTTTGTCTGTCAATTTTGGGCCATCGAACTCGGCCATCCTTAGGGTGTACAGTGATATAATAAAACGTTTTTTTAAATCGGATAAAAATTATGACCTCTATAGGGTCCACAAGCTAAAAACGCGATTTTTCGTACAATCAGGGCCCATAATTCAGGAAGTTACGGTCCGATATGCGCGAATATCGAAAGGACTGAGATCTTTGGGTTATAAACTTACATTTCAAGTTCCAAAAAAATCGGATAAAAATTGTGACCTCTATAGGGTACACAAGCTAAAAACGTGATTTTTCGTACAATCAGGGGCCATAATCCATGAAGTTTCAATCCGATACATGCCAATATCGAAAGCTGCCAAGATCTTTTGGGGATAAACCTATATTTCAAGTTTCGTCAAAATCGGATAAGAATTGTGACCTGTAGAGAGTCCACAAACAATTGTGGACGGACGGACGGAAGTCCGGACGGACAGGGGCGACAGCATAATACGTCAACATGAAAATGTGGGCGTATAAAAAGTAATCAATGTTAGATTTTCTGAAAGAGATCTTTTTTACTGAAGCACTTTTTGTCATTTCAAGAAATGACATTTATCCAATATATATCTGATAAAAGTCACAATTTTGAGGAGTTATTTAGATGCTAGATAAGTTAAAATATTACTTACTTCACCTGAGGATTGTTGACATACTTTTTAAACTTCTGTAGTTGATTGAAAGTCTGCACAAAAAAATATAACAATCAACTACAAATTATTTATATTTCATTTAAAACGGGAATAAAAGATGAAATTATTGAAGAGAAGGAGATTCATACACCTTTTTAAGTAGGTGGCGGTGGGCACAACAAGATAGCCTAACTGAATTAAAATTTATGATTAACAAGCCAACGGTGAGGCTGATGTCCCCTGCCGAAATCCCGAAATAAATAGATGACACATTAATTAATTGCTTGTTTATCTTTTTCAAAAGTATCGAGCAATCAAACTGATTATCAACTATACACTAAGTTTCATCACTCTCTATCAGATAGAATCAAAGTCAAAGAAATTGTTTTGCTCTGCTTAGCTTTAGCAGGAAATGTTAATCATTGAACTCAGCCAAGACATTCACCTAATGAACATCAACATGAAGTTTAAACATTCTACCTCAATTAAAAGTAGAGTTGTTATGTTTCAAAGTCTTGACCAATCAAATTGCTTATCGCTCCTTAGCCTAAGCAGAAAATTCTGATCAAACTTAGTCAAGGTAATGATATAATGAATATAATATAATGAGTTTCATATCTCTCAATTATAACCAAAGCTATCATGCCCAAAAGCATTAACCAATCAAATTGCTTATCTCTGCTAACCATAAGCAGACCATGTTCATCATCGAACTCTATCCAGACATTCACCTAATGAACGCCTACACCAAGTTTGCTCATACTACCTCAATTAGTAGGGGAGTTATTGTGTTTCAAAGTCTTGACCGATCAAATTGCTTAGCGCTCTGCTTACCCTCAGCAGTAAATGTTCATTATCGAACTTAGTCATGGTATTGATGTGATGAAACTATACGCCAAATTTCATCCCTCTCACTTACTTAATTAGAACTAACGTTATCGTGTCCCAAAGCATCAACCAATCAAACTGCTTATCTCTGCTTATCCTACACAGAAAATGCTCATCTTCGAACTCCATCAAGGCATCGACCTAATAAACACCTACACCATATTTGAACATTCTACCTCAATTAGAATGAGAGTTATTGTGTCCCAATGTTCATTATCGAACTTAGTCAAGGTACTGATGTATGAAACTATACACTATATTCACTTAATCATAACTAAATATATTGTGTTCCAAAGCATCAATCAAATAATTTGTTTATCTCTGCTTACCCTAAGCAGAAAATGTTCATCTTCGAACTCCATCAAAGCACTGACCTAATAAACACCTACACCAAGTTTGAGTTTGAGAGAGAGAGAGAGAGAGAGATGGGGTTTAACGTCCACTCGACACAAACTAGGTCATTTCGGGACTAACATATGGTTTAATTTTATTTCAATAATTAGCTTGCCCGTTGGGGTCTTTAGCAGAGGGAGGAAACCGGACAGGCGACCCTACTCCTTGTCACGTACAACCGGGGATTCGAAAACCACGCCAGTTGACTCAATGACAGGCCTTATGATACTGTGCGCACATGCTAACCATTCGGCCATCCAACCCCCCCACCAAGTTTGAACATTCTAGCTCAATTAGAAGGAAAGTTATTGTGTCCCAAAAAGTGTGATGGACAGACAGACGGACGGACAGACAGATCCCATTTCTTCGAAAGGTGAGGGACAATAAAACCAGAGACTAACATTATTAACACTGTTGAAACAGAAAGCATAACTTTTAAGTTAAAATGTCTTAAAATGAATAACAAGAAACCATTACCTGTTCAGCCAATTCTCTTGATGGCTAAAAATAATAATGAAAAAACAAATATCCATTAATTAAAGATCACAAGTCATACCAGTAAATAACCTAACAACCAGAAAATTATTCAGTAAAAATTAAAGATGCATTATGTAAAATTTAGGTAAAGAGTTGGCCATTCTTACTACATTAGTTCAAAAAAAGATAATGAGAAACGAACATATTGAAAATTTCAGTCAAATTACTTTATTCTGGACAAAGTTATAGGCATTTGAAGTTTTGACAAGATAGTCATAGACTGTCAAGTACTATTGCTACAATAATATACAAAGCCTTGATTATCCATTTTAACTTTAAATTATTAAAAGGCAAGAGGGTATAAATCTGTTCAATATAACGGCCACCCGATATTCTAGAGAGTTGATTATGGACTTGTCATGTCTAAATAATAATTTATATAACATTTGAAGCTGAAATGAAATGAAATGGGGTTTAACGTCCTACTGTTTTACTCCGAACTCAGCTAATGAAGACGGGCATACGCCATACAGTGTGTTATGAGCGAAATTTTGCCCAGACAGAGGAACTACGGCCTACTCTTATATCGAATTCAAACTGTACACCAATGTGTACACAGTGCCTCGGTTTTTCGTCCCTCCGTCCTGCATCACCGACAAGGGAGAACCATGCCGGAAAATCTGGATGGACTTTCTCGGCCAATGCAGGGATCAAACACCCAACCTTCAGGCTAGCGAGCCAGCGTCTAACCCACTTAGCCACCATGATCCCCCATTTGAAGCCAGAAAAAAGACTGGCAATATGTAGCAAGATTGTTAGAATTTTTGCTCTTTAAATTAATGATAGCATTATATGGTATTAAAGATACATTGTGGCAGATCAGATAAAGAGCTGGCAGTTCTCACTATAATAGTTAATCAGCGGTTGCCAGGCAAGATACACCTACATTTTGCAAGATAAACAAAAAGCAATTTTTCGTACAATCAAGGGCCATAATTCAGGAAGTTACGATCTGATATGCGTGAATACGACAGGAACCAAGATCTTTGGTTTATAAAGATATATTTCAAGTTCCATCAAAATCGAATCAAAATTGTATATGGGTCATTCTCAAAATTTGCCCAAATTTCAGTCAGTAGCACAAAGCTCTGAAAATATTTATTTTAACATTTTTTCAAAGGTCATATCATTAAGAAGAGGATATTTTGTTTCTCTTAAAGTTGTAAAATGGTATATGTGTAAACAATTTTTTGAGAAAATAGGGTTTTTTATCATCAGTTCAGGAGAAAAACCACCGTCAGTATACACGGAAATGACTTTGCAGAACAATAAAATGTTAATTCCAAGACATTTTTTAATATTTTTTTAGCATTTGAAATAAAATACCAGTATAACAAACACATAACTAACAGATATACTAGGAAAAATTATGAAAATCCAATATTAATCACACAATTAATGACTGTACAAAATTTCACGGTCAGTGGTGCAACGAACTCTAAAATTATGACATTAAATGATTATCTCCCTTGAAAATTATATGAAATACTGACTGCTCCTTTTGCTGATGACTTCCTGCTCATGGCTGAAGTTTTGAGGAGGTCAAATTTGAATTCCTGTAGAAGTTCCACGTAATTAGATAAGTCTATTATTCACCATAACTTTTTATTGTGTCAGTGGTGTAACACTGATTACTTGTTCATATGAACTAATTTAAAACATTTTTTATTTTAAGCAAATTAAAACTATTGAAACATCATCCTTTATGCCATGTGGTCAGTATTTAGGGAGCATTTATTGTTATAAATGTTCATAAAAGTATGAATGGGTCAGTGGTGTAACAGTCAGTGGTGTAACACTAGAAAATGTTACACCATTGACAGGTTTTGTTACACCACTGACAAAACTTTCCTTTTAGGCAATTTTTTTGCAAAACTGAATTGGTTTGCAATACATCTATCAAGAGTATTTTCTTTCAGATTGTTTATTTTATTCTTTTATTAAAGAGACATACTATAAAAGTAATGTTGCAACATTTTATGTGCTAAAGTTTGCTAGATATGTTACACTATTGACAAATTGGTGTTACAACATTACCACAATATTTTCATTTCATAAATGTTAATATTTGTTTAAACTTTTTTTAAATATTCATGTTCAGACTTTACTATTAAGCCTTTATGATTTTGATGATTAGTTAAAGAGGCATTTAATTTGTATCTATGTAAAGAAAAATCAGTGGTGTAACAAAATAAGTCATTGGTGTAACAGTATTCTTTGTAGTTTTACATGATATTGTTTCATATTCAGATGATTTGTTTTGTAAATCCAAATGTTTAAAAACCTGTTCTTTAATAATGACAAATAAATCATTTTAATCTTTATATGACAGTTTATTTGGCTTTTATCTTCAGTAATTTGCAAGAGAATCAGTGGTGTAACAGATCTTGTCATTGGTGTAACACACATATCAGTGGTGTAACATACATCTTTGACTAACCCAGGATTAAATTGTGAAAATAATTAAAAAAGTAAACTCACAATTAAAAAGAGAAAAAATATGGATAATGACAACAGTGGAGAATCTTTTTTTTATTTATTTAAAAGTGTGAAAATATAAACATTTATGCTCGTTACACCACTGACATTTTTTCCAAGTGGATAAATCAAAAACCTTAATATCAAAATATCTTATTTACTTACTGTGTGCAAATCATCATAACAGCACTTCTCAATGTGCTGAGCATTCCATAGAATACAAAAATTATTCATTTAGACGCTTTGTATTTTTGAATTTCGCAAGGTCTAAATGTGGGCATATATTTTTAGAATGACCCATATATACTAAACAGCAAAGGAAACGTCTGGTTGGTATGTTACTCTGTTAGACGCATTGCATAAAACTTGCCAAATGTTTCTATTGTTTATTTGTGACCACATCTCCAACGTTACCTGAGCAATAAGGCTCCTTCCCAAATACAGAATTGAACCCAGGAAATGTTTTCAAAGATAGGTTGCCAGGCAACTAAACATACGCCCACAGCAGCTACATCGTCCGGGCAGTCAACAAGAGTTGTCGCATATTTTTACTTTTTTCGGTAATGAAACATTTATAATACATTAAAATCTGATTAAGAGTAACAACTCATTAAGTAATTATCAGAAAACCATTAGAATTTGTTTGGTTTTTACAAAACTTTTAACATCATAGATTTAGCTGTTCAAGTCATAAAAATTCATTGAAAATCAATATACTTGTTCATCTCATGACCTTAAACACTGTGTATAAAATTAAAGTCAATAGGATTCTTCGTCTCATGACCTTAAATACTGTGTATCAATTTAAAGTCAATTGGATATTAACTTTAACCTCTAGAGCGTCCACAAGATTTTTCAAAGTGATCAAGGGCCATAACTCTGGCAGTAATTAACGGAAATTGCTGAAAATTAAAGTCAATAGGATTCTTCGTCTCATGACCTTAAATACTGTGTATCAATTTAAAGTCAATTGGATATTAACTTTAACCTCTAGAGCGTCCACAAGATTTTTCAAAGTGATCAAGGGCCATAACTCTGGCAGTAATTAACGGAAATTGCTGAAAATCAATAGGCTTCTTCGTCTCATGACCTTAAACACTGTGTATCAATTTTAAATCAATCGGATATTAACTTTAGGCTCTAGAGCGCCCACAAGATTTTTCAAAGTGATCAAGGGCCATAACTCTGGCAGTAATTATGGGAAATTGCTGAAAATCAATAGGCTTCTTCGTCTCATGACCTTAAACACTGTGTATCAATTTTAAATCAATCGGATATTAACTTTAGGCTCTAGAGCGTCCACAAGATTTTTCAAAGTGATCAAGGGCCATAACTCTGGCAGTAATTATGGGAAATTGCTGAAAATCAATAGGCTTCTTCGTCTCATGACCTTAAACACTGTGTATAAATTTGAAGTCAATCGGATATTAACTTTGACCTCTAGACCGTCCACAAGATTTTTTTGAAGTGATCAAGGGCCATAACTCTGGCAGTAATTATTGGAAATCGTTGAAAATCAATAGGTTTCTTCGTCTCATGACCTTAAACACTGTGTATAAATTTAAAGTCAATCGGATATTAACTTTAGCCTATAGAGCGTCCACAAGCAATTGTAGGCGCCGGACCGACGGATGGACCAACGGACGGACGGGGGTGACAACAATATACGACCACATTTCAATGTGGGCGTATAAAAACGCAACTTGACTTCTGAGATGGTAATGTGTTCTCCATGATTTTTATGTAACTCATGCTGCACATGGGGCTATACTATATACCGGAAAACACAGAAAAACACTGGAAAACACCATGTTATACTGAATACCGGAAAACACCGGAAAAACACTAAATACAGGAAAACTGTTGTTATTAGAGCGTTCAAAAGATTCAACAAAGTGAAACAAGGGCCATAACTCTAGATGTAATTAACGGAAATTGCTGAAATTCAAAATGAAATGAAATGGAGTTTAACGTCCTACTGTTCTGCTCCTAACCTGGGCTAATGAAGACGGCTGAAATTCAATAGGCTTCTTTGTTTTACTAATCTGAATGATGCATATAAATTTCGTACAGATCGAATGATAACTTTTGTCGTTCGAACGTTCACAAGGTACAACAAAGTGAAACAACGGCCATAACTCACGGCGTAATTAACGGAAATTGCTCAAATTCAATAGGATTCTTCGTTTCACTAATTTAAATGATGCATATCAATTTCAAACAGATCGGATGATAACTTGTCATTAGAGCGTTCACAAGATTGAACAAAGTGAAACAAGGGCCATAACTATAGATGTAATGAACAGAAATTGCTGAAATTCAATAGACTTCTTTGTTTTACTAATTTAAATGATGCATATAAATTTCATACAGATCGGTTGATAACTTTTGTTGTTAGAGTGTTCACAAGGTGCAACAAAGTGAAACAAGGGCCATAACTCCAGAAGAAATTAACGGAAGTTATTGAAATTAAATAGGCTTCTTTA